TGATACCAACTTTTTACAACCCGAAATCCCAACCCCGAGGCCCTGATGGCACCTAACATTTCACTTGCTAGGCAAGTCAACGTTAGCTAAATTACTTAACTAGGTTTAACAATTTAAATCAAAACATTAATAATAATAATAAAATGTGGTAGTCTGAAATAGATATGATAAATACCATATAACGTAAATTAAACATATCCTAGAAATCTGAAGTCACGAATACATGAGCATCTAGAGTACTACAGATAAAGTCTGAACAAAATACAACTGTTTGAAATTAGGTAAATAGTAAAGACATAATGGAAGGGGACTTCAGGGACTGCAATCGCCAGCAACTCTACCTCAAGTCTCTTGCTGACAGCCGGTCCATGCAAAATCTCCTCTACACGCTGTTGGAACCTACTCCGGTATCTACAAAAAAAGTACAGAAGTGTAGCATGATTACAACCGACCCCATGTACTCTGTAAGTGTCGAGCCTAACCTCGACGAAGTAATGACGAGGCTATGACAATACACTCACAATAAGCCTGAACAAAAAATAATAACAGAATACAGAAATAGAATTAAAGCAGTAAACTCATATAACCGAACCCGTAGGTCAACTACTAGAGGGCCCAGAATAACATAATCTCAAATCTCATAACAAAATACCGAGAACAATTTCTACAGCCACAATAACAACAATATCTCAAATCCGTTGTGGTGCACAACTCGATCCTACTATATCATCATCTGTTCATAATATATTCCGTCCTTATCTCTTCATATCGTATCATTTCAATATTGTTGCGGCGTGAAACCCGATCCCATCATATCAATTCATTTTAATATCGTTGCGACGCACAACCCGATCCCAACAATTTCAAATTATAAACATAAATAATTCAACACCAATGTTTATGAAATATCAATACAAAGGAAAAATGAAACATACAGAACAATAAGGAACTACCAACAAACGAGGAATAACCAATACTTCGAAATCCCAAACCTTGGAAAAATGATAGGACCAAAATAGCTAGATGGCTCACATGAACAGAATAACAAAATAAAGTACTTCAAGTAATATAAGAACGGTAAAAGTAAGTAGAACATGTGACAATGAAAATATACAATTAATTCAATTAGAAGCATGTAGCAAGTGAAAAGATATTTGGTGAGAAATGTACAATTGAAACATGTAACAGGTAAACAACAAATAACAAGTAAGACGTAGATAACAAGTAAGAACGTGTAGCAACTAAAGTATGTAACAAGAGATAACATAGAGTAAAAAAAAACATGGAAGTAAATAGTCCAATCCCGCATGCTTGGATTCCATTACGGCGCATATACACTCATCACCTCGGATATACGTTGTTTCCCCACACAATTCATATAGGAAATAATCCAACAAGTTCTAATTCCCTTAGGTCAAGGTTAGACACAATGCGTACCTCTTTCCGCAATCAAATCAACACTCAACCACGACCTTTCCTTAAGAATTAGCCTCCAAACCAGTCAAATCTAGCAAAATATGGTTCAAATCATTCAAATTAAGCTTTAGAAACTACTTACGAGTTAAAAAAATTTAATCTTTAATGAATTTGGAAAATGTCAACTTCGAGCACGCTTGGTCAAAACCCGAGATTCGGACCAAAATCCGGTTACCCATTTACTCCCGAGGCCGGTTATGTGATTTGTTTTGAAATATGACCTCAATTTGAGGTCAAAATATGAATTTTACAAATTTTTCAATTTCTACCCAAATCCCTAATTTCTACCATGAAAATCCTAGATTTGATGTTGAAAACACATGAAAAATATTGGGTAATTGAAAGGAAATGGATTAAAGTTTCTTACCAATAATTTTGGGAAGAAGGAAGAAGAAACTCTTGGAAAATCGCATCTAGAGTGTTTAGGGTTGAGAAATGGTGTAAAATGAGCTAAGTCCCGACTTTTCCTCTTTTACCTAGTTGTGGATGTTACAATTGCAAACGCTTGTTCGCATTTAAGACCATCGCAAATGCAAAACACAGGTCGCAAATGCGAACTGTGCATCGGAAGCCTAGAATTCGCAAATGCGACAATATGTTTGCAAATGCGAACTGTCCCCCATTCGCAAATGCGGACAACTACTTCGCAAATGCGAAGCTACCCAACATAACACAACATCGCAATTGCGATGCCAGGGTCGCAAAAGCGAACACAGCACCCATCACAACAACGACTCCTTCTTTGCAATTGCGAAGACCCAGCCCCCAGCCCATTCTCGCAAATGCAAACTATTGTTCGCAAATGCGAGCCAAACCTCGCAATTGCGATATCAACAGCAGACACCAGAATTAGGCACTGCATCAGCAGTCCTCAAACTATCCAAACTCATTTGAAAACGCATCTGAAATGCATCCGAGCCCCTTTGGGTCCAGACCAAACATGCACACAACTGTAATAACATCATATAAACTCGCTCGCGTGATCAAATCACCAAAATAACGTCCAAAACCACGAAACGAACATCAAAATGCATCAATTTTAAAGAAAAACTTAAGAACCTCCAGAATCACATCTAAGCGTCTGAATCCTACCAAACCAACTCCGCATTTCACCTAATTTTGCAGACAAATTTCAAATAGAAAAATGAACCTATTCCAAGTTCCAAATAAAAATTAGAACCCGATAAGCATAAAGTCAACATACGGTCAAACCTAAAAAAAATTTAAATATTCAAATTGCTAACTTTTGGCAAAACAAGTCAAGTCAACCTACCAACCTCCGAATTCAATTTCGGACATACGTCCAAATCCAAAAATCACAATATGGACCTAACATAATAGTCAAAACACCCATCCGGGGTCGTTTATCCAAAATATTGACTATAATCAACTCAAGTTATTTTTAAAGCCAAAAATCACATTGTCTTAAAATTTTTACGTAAAAACTTTTTGGAAAACAACGCGGACTGCGCACACAAATCAAGAAACATCAAATGAAGCTAATAGAGGTCTCGAAACACAGAAATAACGGCTAGTACTCTAAACTCCCTATCGGGTCGTCACATTTAGAATATGCAGAGAGATATTCTTTGTGAACCCTAGCCGTTATCGCTTAGTGGAAAAAGCTCTCATTTCCAACATCCATAAAGTTGTACTTATATCTTATAAAAAGGGGTTTTAAGAGAAGTACTTGCTAATGGGTTAACGCGCTAATTAACACCCCTTATGGGTGGATCCGACACGATAGCAATTTTCCAACCCAAGTAGTACTCTGTATTGAAGTGATTTAAACTTTTTTCAAGTATTTTCTTCCCATTGTTGAGGCCTTTGGAGGAAGAAGAAAATATTTGGACAAGAACTGCTGCACAATACAAGGGTGTCGTCATTGTCTTCAATTATGGTAGGTTCATCATCTTACACTCATCGAATTACACATGAGTTTCGAATTCTGTTTATGTGATGGATTAGGTGGTATCGGTAAGGGATTAATTTGAAATTGTCGCACAGGCTCGTGATACTTATGGTTTCTAGTCATGGTTAATAGCATGGCTTCTTAGCTGGGGAGAGTACACCCGAATAAATGAGGGCATCTTGTTGAATAAGTTGGATCCCACGGGCTTTTCTTTGTCTTATTACGTTGGAACTTTGGGTAAATATTCCATCAAAATCGCTTTCACAACCTTATCATTACCATTGTTATATTCTTAGTTTACTACCATAATCATTTCTTGAAAACTAGATAGAGCCACACCACTATCAGTTATTGCTGTGTAATTAAAGAGACATGCTAATTTAATTTGTTGACCTACTAGTTACAAGAATGTGATCATCTGAATTTAGAGTGTGTGAAAATGTTGTTTTCTAATTTGATGCAGAGTACTTTTAACCAAAAAAATAAATAAAAAAAGACTATCTTATCTGTTGTATTAAATACTGCTTCTGGTTCAGTGGGATATTTGGTTGGACCATATGCTAAATAATTTGGATGTTGTCCCTTTATCCCTTTCCGTAATATGCTCCCTCAATGTAGTTCTTATTATTTAAAATGAGAAAATGAAAGATGGAAGACATCAACCTGAGTTTATAATATATATTACAAGTACGCTTGTTGAAAGAAAAACTTAGTTTTGATGGTGCATTCAACTATAAGGAAGAATCTGACCTTGAGACTTGTCTCAAAAAAAGCAGTAGCTATCACGAACATGTTAGGAAGAGTAGTGGTTTGTGGGGTCATTTCCGAGTACATAAACACCAGCAAAAGAGCAGCCCGTGACATGATGGATGTAGTCTATAAAAGGATTGCCATTCAATAAGGATGTCGTACGTGCTGCTGACAGTCATTTCAAAGTGTACTCTGATTTTCAGTGGAAGATACCTGAGTACCTTCGAGCTGGAAAACTGAAGGCAATTGAGGAGAGGACGGATTCTTCAATAGCTACGGTTCCGTGAACTCATTAGCTTTTGTCTAGAGCGAGTATTTGTATTGAAAAATTCATTAAATGTATAAGAATATTTAGTATTGAACTCAGTCCGTTAATCAAATTAGTATTGTATATTAACTAGAGATTTTTGTAAGAACCCATAAATCTAAAATCCCGAATCCGCCTCTGAGAATGTCTCTCAAGGAGTTGAAAGCATGCCCTCTTCCTCCATAGGACTATTCCGAGGTGATAATGTGGGGAAAATGATTGTCCAAGTTGCATGCACATGATTAATGGGTGACTGTGGTTTCTGCTCTAGAGTTCATTCGAACCACCTCATTATGTTCTATCTGAAGTAGTACAATATGTATGAAGTACGTGCTTAGTGATTTATCTAAAGAAACAATAACAAAATTTGAATACAAAACACCTTGGTTTTAGATTCAATCAATATCATCACTTCCGACTCCCCATTCCTCCATTTTGTATATCTTTAGAGTTTTCAAATTCCATCAGCTTTATCGGTTTTCAATATCATTAAGTTGAGAAAAAATAGCTTCAGAATTATGCAGAGCCAAGTAGGCAAACCTTCAAATTCTAGCTTTTATTTTAATGCTTTCAATGCATCTATTTCACTCGTATAACAATATCCTCCTGCCCTTAACCCTTTACCCTCCAAAATTAGGATGGCTGAAACAATTAAGCATATCTCAAAGCAATATATTTCTAATCCTAATTGAAGATGTCTTCCTAGCTGTATTGATAAAGTTACTTCATCCTCCATTATTACAACATAGTATTAATAAAGGGGCATTAGCAACAGTTGTCCGGTCCATTATTCAATACACAGAGACATCCACTTGATTAGAGGCAGTGCTTTTTGTCGAAATCTTTATCATTCAAGAAACCAGAAACCAGACTTGTTAGTCTTTGAGCACCCCGGCCAGGTTGCAATGAAGTTATGTTTGTTAAAATGTAGCGTGAGATAGTTTCATTTGCTTCTCCACCTTTAAACCAACTACCAGGAACAAAACCATCAGCTTTGCGGCCCAAGAGCTCAGAGTCAATCTTGTCAAGCACTGATTCATTCCTGCCAAATTTTCTGGCAAATGGCGCATTGCTTTCAACCATTTCCTGGTAATCATCTACAGTGAGATAGTGCGGATGTTGCTTAGGAGGGTTGTCCCACGCTATAAAATGAAGGTCGTGGTTGACTGTAGTATTTCGAAAGGCTTCTACATTGCATATGACAGTGTGGAAATATGCTTCAGGTGAAGAGAGAAAGTTAGCATAGTACATTAACAGTGTCCTCGGGAGGCCGTCCCACCCAGACAATAAGTAGTCCACAAATGGCCGAGAGAGCATCATCCAAGCTGATCCTGGTGCAAATTCAAAATGCATCATTTTTCATTTTCAATGATTTTGTGATGCCTTTCGAAATATAGATGTAACAAAATTAATACTAGTATGTAAATAACTTTAGGCATATTTCATTATGGGATAACACCTATGAGGTGCATGTTGAATTCTTAGAACCCGTTTGGGCATAAAATACTTTTCCTTTTTTTTTCGGAATCGTTTGTCTATAAAATTTTCAATTTTCACTTGAAGATGCATTAATTTTGAAATTTTTCACTCAAATCACTCACAAAACTTCAAAAACAACCCAAAATTATATTCATATCCAAACACAACTCTAAATTTCAAATACCATTTTTACTTGAAAAAATATTTTCCCTTATTTTTGAATTTTACAATTCTTATGTCCAAACGCCCACTTAGTCACTTGGCATGATGAAAAAACCTAACCCTTGGAATTCATCTAACCCATAAATTTGATTTGTGACAATATGATAAATTTGGCACCATATGAATTAATGTATAGTTTCTCCGGATCGATCCCTAAAGCTAAAATTAGTGGGCGTGTGGATATAAGAATTGTAAAATTCCGAAAAGAATAATTTTTTTTAAAGTGAAAATGGTATTTGAAAATTAGAGTTGTGTTTGGATATGAATATAATTTTGGGTTGTTTTAAATTTTTGTGAGTGATCTAAGTGAAAAATTTTGAAAAATAGCTTTTTCAGTTTTTCATATTTTCACAAAAATTCAAAATTCACTTGAAAATTGAAAAATTTATGACCAAACACTGATTTCGAAAATAAGTGAAAAGAATTTCATGGCCAAACAGGCTCTTAGTTGTAGTTAGCCCAATATATGGCTTTGTTTGAACTGCATACATCACTCTTAACATGGCGTTGTATTGATACTTCAGTATAATTTTTCTCAAAAAGTATTACATCATTAAGAGTACCCCTTATAAAAGTATTTTATATGAAGTAACTTTTTGTTTGAAACTTTATTAGCGCGCCAAACATCAGTAGCGCATACGTAATGATAAATTTAGCTAAAAGAGGGAGATAGAACCCCTCTAGAGATCTACTGTATTGGAAGCTTTAGTTGAGTGAGAAATGGAATGTTGAAAGCTTAGAATGGTTAGACGGAATATCGAACCGGAGTTTGTTAGCTTGCTTTTATTATTAACTCAGAATATACACAAGTTTGGAAACTCTCACCTGTGAATAATTTAAATGCTGTTGGCACACTCCTTTGTTGTTGGACCCAGAAGACATCAGATTTATGCAAACTGTAAAACCCCGGATCAATTATTATAGGCTTGGCCCTATATTCCCTACAACCAGAAATACATTGCATATTCTGTAAAACCTCATAAATAAAATCCAATTTAAGTAACGATAGGTTGATTAAATGGCAAGTTATCCACATACTCCTTCCAATCGAGGTCACTTGTATGCTCAATAAAGTTAATATCTCTTGGAATTGTCCATACAGTGTGAAGCAAATCTGTCAATCGGATTAGCAAAGTCCTTCGGTTTAGATAAGCACCAATTGCAAGTAATTTGATTAATAAATCCGAAGTGAATAGACCAAAGGTAAATCTTTTCTTCTTTTCTTAAGAAGAAGAACCAAATTATGAAAATATATTTCACTGAACAAAATGTTAAAACTGATCAGAAACATGGTGACGGGAAACTCTATGTTTGATTGGAAAATCAATAAACCAATGGTTTTAGCTAATATTAGACGTGGACAACATAGAAGCTTGAAAACAATATTTAATTTGGATCTCCATAAATTTACTAATAATTGATTTGTTCGATGATAAGATTAGTATGACAGGACAAGTAATGAAAAGTGGTAATAATTTCTGCTGGCGGGTTATGCGATTATGTCATCACAGCAACATTCATGTTCATATTCACGACCAAAAAGGGCGGCAAAAAGAAAAAGAAAATTTCGCTAATTAATAAGTTACTCTCTCCGTTTCAATTTAGATGAACTATTTTGACTTGACACAAAATTTTAAAAAGAAAACATGTGATAGCCCTAAAAGCTTAAGTACGGCTACTCTGAAAAGTTTAATTCCACCCCCAACCAGGGCCGGCTCTAACGTGATGAGGGGTAAGGCAGGTGCCTTGGGCCCCCAAAAATAGGTTTATAGGTATTTTAAAAAATAATATTTATTACTTTTTAATACAAAATTAGAGTTTTTAATATAAAAGGAAATAGAGCTCTTTAGATATGTAAATAAAGTAATAATTTGACATATTTAAAAATAGATAGATGGATAGTTTTCGCAACGTTTCAGTTTTACTCCTTCATTAGATAATGTATACAAAAATCCACTCTCCCTTTCTTAATATGTCCAAGTCAATCTTTCTTTTCTCCTCTCTCTTTATATTTCAGAAACCCCTATATATTTTCTGTCTTTCTCTTTAATATTCTTACTCACCTTCTTTCTCCAATATTTCATTACTCACTTTATTTCTACAAGATTTCATTAGCTCCACTGTTCAACAATACTTTTAAGCTTCCAATAATTCTATACTTCTATTGCTCTATAAAATATTACTCTCTCCGCTCCAGTTTATGTGAACCTATTTCCTTTTTGGTCCGTTCCGAAAAGAATGACCCCTTTCTAAATTTGGAAATAATTTATCTCAAACTTACAATTCTACCATTAATGAGAAGCTTTTATAACCATACAAATACTCTGGGCCCTTTTTTGATTTGTTTAGGACCACAAATTCTAAAAGTGTTTAATTTTTCTTAAACTCCGTGCCCAGTCAAACAGGTTCACATAAATTGAAACGGAGAGAGTATCTAATATCAACAATATCTCAAGAAAAATTAAATGAGCTGGCTATATTATCAATTGAATAAAGATAATTAGAGAAAATCGACTATAAAAAAAATTATTAACAACTTTGTATTTCAAAAAGTTAGAAGAGTATATTTCAAATAAAACGTATGTTATAACTATCTTTAAAAAATTTAGGCCTCATATTAAACTTTGGCCTTAGGCCTCGCATATCCTTGAGCCGCCCCTGCCCCTGCCCCCAACCCCCAAAAAAAGAAAAAAAACCAAAGATCTTAATTAGAAAAAGAGGCGGGGAATGCATACCATCTTGGGTTACTAAAGGATAATCAGAAGCACTCAAATTGATGAACCAATCCCATTCACCACCTTCCTTGAGCAAAATGGCAGCAGCATGAAGTGTATTAGTAACCATAGTAGGACCTCTATAAGTTACCAAGTTGGACTTCATAATTACTCTCACATTCCCAACTTCCACAAACAAAGGCTCCCTCTTCACAAATTTCAGCAGCTCTAATCTCTCCTCATCTGTTGTCTCAAGGTCCAAATGCACCACATACTGGTTTAATGGATGGTACAAAGCCTTAAGTGTCCTCTTTAAGCTCTCCCCATCACCACTCGATCCAGATATCAAATATGCCAATCTTGGTATTGTTGTTATGGGTCGTGTAGGGGCTATATGCAGTCTTGATTCAACGAATATTAATTGATCTTGCGCTTTAACTGATGCTTGGTAAAATGGGTTTCCAGTAGAAAGAATGCAAATGATGAAGAAAGAGGAGATTAAGAGGGCAAAAATCAGAGGATTAAACCATTTATTACCTTCCATCTTTGGTCTGTTATTTTCTACTGGTTTCTATATATTGGTGACACAAAATCATTTCTTTTTCAACGTGAACTGAGATTTCATTAAAATTTTTAACGTAGAGGTGGGAAAAGGTATTTTTGAGTGGTTTTGGAGCATTGCAGGTCAACGAATCTACGAATGTTTAGACTAGATTAGTGCAAGTAATCTTCCTTAATGATACAGTCAGTGAATGATAAAGTGGATTGATTAATAAAAAGACATGTGCTAAAAGGTAATCAGATTGCCAAGCAACTCACATTTATCTTTGTGTCCATTTGGATCTCTCTTTTAGCCTTATTGATGAAATGTGATCAAAATTTTAGTTTTCCTACTTTAACGTGAAAAGGTAGCTATCAAATTTCATTCATTTTTGTTCAGGAACAGTGTTTTAAAAAGCTTTTCAGAGACTCGCCTCGGGACTCGCTCCAGGGTGGGGCACTATCAAAACGTCTTGAGACTCATGTGTGGGACTTAGTTCTGTGAGGTTTACGCCTTCAAGCGCCCGACGGTGCGCCCTAAACACGCCTAACGCTCAACGCTCAGGACTCGCCCAACAGATCCTATGCAAATCATGTGTTGAATTCACTAATTTGCACTGTTAACTCTCAAAATTCTTTAACAAATGAATGATTAAAGTTCTTTTTATCTATAGAAATATGAAAATTCTAAATAACTCAAATAACGAACCATATTATTGCATATTTACTAATTGAGAATATCGTGAGGGTGAATATCATTTGAATATTTCTTATAAAAATAGATAACCAAAATTTATATCTTTACTTGATAGATCTTCATGTCTTAGTCCTATGTCTCTCAAAAATTATCATACATTTCTTATTTTACTATTTAAAAATAATTTTATATTTACTCATGACGGAGTAATATTTTAAATTACATTATTGATAAAATTTATTGTGTATTTACTTTTAAAGAGGTAAAATATGCAGTTTGATAATATTTTCTAAGAAATTATAATTTTTAATTGTTTAAAAGTTAAGAGGTTGGAGTTAATTTATACAGTATTTCATAGTAACTTTAACAGTATTATATTATTTGTACTTATAAAACATGCTAAATATTTTATTTTATATGAGTTTTTTCAATTATTTTTAGCTTTCTTGAACTTTTAATGCATCTTTTATATTTTATTGTGTTATCATTATATTATTAATTCATAAATTTAAAAAATTAAAGATCTGTGAGGCTTACGCCCCATGTCTCGAGGCTTTCGCCTCGCCTCGCCCCGTATTAAGTAAAATGCCCCGTCTCGCGCCATCACCTTTTAAAACACTGTTCAATAGATAAACTTGATAAAAACATTTCATCAGGGTCAACTTAGGCAATAAGCAGTGGAATGGCCCAACAGGCTCACGTGCAAACTTTAGCTTAAGTTGAAAAAATATTTGATGCATTGGCTTTAATAGAAACGTCTAAATTCATACCCAAATAGATGACTTGTATTTCTTTTTATTTATTGCTTTGGAACTTTCATAATACGTGCAGGACACTTGATAGATATCTTGATAGATATTAGAAGTGCATACAAATATATATATATATATATA